GTCGACGTTGAATCTGCCAGTGCTTGGGCTGGGGCTTCTGTAGTTGTGCCAGCCGGGCATTCCAAGACGAGTTGAACAAGAGGTGTGAACTGGACAGGAGAAGATGTTGAAGACAGGGTAGGGATGTGGGTTTTGTACATTATTTATGGAGAAGGTATATCTCACTTAACGGGGCTGGATAAAGGAAGGGATCTGTTTTAGCTGCTGGTGGGTGAAAGGGCATGGATGCTGTGTGACGATCAAGGCGAAGTGGTTTGCTGGGTTGATCTGGGTATATCCTTGGATGTGCCTGCCGGGCAAAGGAGTTTGTCTACGTCGGATAAATGAAACGGTCACGCGAATTTCTATCCAATCCAGAATTCATTGTTGGTAACTATTAAACCGGAGATATATAAATTCTAGGCATGAAGCAGCTTTAATCAAGTCGGAGAACATGGCCTGAAGATGTTGATAGCTGTTCGTTGTATGTCAATAGCGGGGCGAACGGCTGGATCCATTCTTTAATGACTGTTCGCAGGGTGTCACAGACGGCGTCTGTGGCCTGCTGGCGAGAGGAGCCACAGCTTTCGATGTAGTCTATGGACGTTAGTATTGGTAACTTTCTTGTGGTGTGCCCCACTGGTGAGAAACTTACATTTGACCTTGGCTTCTGTGCCTGATGCTCGAATTGTGAATCGTACTTCGCGGTCAAGCCACAGAGTCAGCATTTGACTGCTCTTATCTGCAGGAAGCTGGGGCTTCTTGTCTGGTGTGCCCGAGTCATAGCCTTCTGTCATATCTCGCCATCGAAGGATTTTGAACGATCCTAGTCTCATTTCTGATTTGAATGGGCCGGCTCTTACTGCGTCGAACATTGCTAGACTGGTTTCAGGGTTGGGCGACCGGAAGTAATTGTTGAGTGTCTCGTGATGTCCAAATTCGTCGAACAACTTCTGCAGCTTGGTGTAAGGGGTCAGGCCCTGCGTTGCCCATCGTGCTTGTGCCGACAAGAAGATCATAGCCGCTGTAATACCGTCTTTATCGTAGCAAACCTCGGGGAACATGTAGCCAAGGGCCTCCTCAAATGCGAATGTAACGTAGTATCCTGACTCCTCTAAGTTCCGTGATGTGTTGCCCATCCACTTGAAGCCTGTTAGGGATTCTTCGAAATAGATATTCCTAGCCGTTGCCATTTTCTCAAGCATTGTCGAGGAGACGGCCGAGTTTAGAACCGCAACCCGTGTATCGGTATCGATGTTCTCAAGTGAGTCGAACAGATGAGACGCCAGAAGAGCTCCCATATGATTTCCAGTAAAGAAAAACCAAGAGCCGCTGTTTTAAAGATGTCAGTTTACATCACCCAACAAGTAGTGAGGGTGTTTTACGTACTCAACTTTCTCAGCAGCAGCAAACCTGTCGGCGTCTGGATCGTTAGCAATAATTAGGGTTTTACCTTCCCGATCTGCTGTTTCCACCGCGAGGTCTAGCGCTCCGGTTTCCTCAGGATTTGGGAATGGTAGCGTTGGGAAGCTTGGATCTGGTTTCGTTTGTTCCGCAACTGTGCTGAAGTCGGTAATGCCCAATGAACGGCACAGGTCCGGGAGCACTAGTCCTCCAACGCCATGCAAGGGAGTGTAGACAAACGGCTTTGGGTGTCTCCATTGTTGGACGGTGGATTTCTAAAGTAATCAGTATATAACCAGGGGCTGGAATGGGGTCCTGTACCGAATAATGCCAAACTCGAGTGGTATAGCGTGGCAGTAGCTGTTCGTAGGCTTTCGGATGGAAGTAATCACCGGTTGGTGGTGACTCAGTCCAGGCATTAGGCCATGGTTCAAGATTCCGCTCGATCGAATCGGATATCTCTTTATCCATAGGAGAATTGATCTGGCAGCCATTTTTGAAGTAACTGAACGATGTTAGGATTGGGAAAAGACACGCTGGAAGGTGGAACCAGACACTTTGTAGCCTGAGAAAAGTTAGCAGAGAAACAATCACGGATCCCATGCGAGCTCACCATTATCTTGCGCTGGGTTCTGTTGCATAGTCATTAGCCTGGAGGTTCGGCATCCCACCATCGGGATCGGCGAGAGCAACTTACATGGCTTGCTGTGACCATGACGCCCGCAAGAGCGCGCATATCGGTCACGGCAAAGGGCACAACGGGAGTGACCGCTGGCCCTGAGAAGAACCAGACTGGAATTTCCTGTGCGATAAATGCGTTGGCGGCCAAAACCGCGAATTTGGCAGAATTCGTGCGGGCGTCATGGCCGATGATCACCCCGCGCGAGGTGAGGTCGCCATAGTTATCCCGCAAGTACTTGGCCAGGCCTTGCGATGCCTGGATCACGGTCAGAGAATTCATGCACGAGAAACCGGCAGCCATGCGGCCGCGCAGGCCGGCGGTGCCAAACTGGATGCCTGCTCTATATTAGCCAAAACGCGACCAGGGCCGTGAGGGGCGGTGCGCACGCTTGCGAAGGCGCTTTTCCAGCTCAACAGCCTGCCTCGAGTCCCGAAGCTGCTCGATTTCCGAGCGAGTCGTGGAATCCTGCGCGACATTAGCTGGCAGTCAAGAGCCGGGCATAGGGAGATATGTGCGAACCTGGTCCCACTCGAGCCATTTCTGAATCAGCGGGGAGAGAGAATCCTACAAAGTCAGACTGCGGCTCAGGAATGCGAACGACAAATGCTGGGTCATTGAATGGGTTACCTCGAGGGAGGCCATGATGGTCATACGATGAGCGAGCAGAAGGAGGGGGAGGAGAAGAGAAGCCCAAGAATAGACGACGCTAAAAAGGAGATGGAGCTCTGTATAACTGGTTCAGGTATAGCGGGAGGTGGGAGAGATATAGGATCCGATCGTCTGATGTGGACTTTGTTGCTCGTTTCACCTGTCGGCTGGCCTGCTGGAACCTTTTTCTCCCCGCTTTCCGTTCCTTTCCCCTTTGCTCTCTGTTGCCTGATTACAGAGCATCCCGACTCTCCCCCCTGCCTTTTTATGTTCCATTAAGCTCTCCTACGATGAGGTGAATCACGACTAGTCCGTCTATATTCGACAGTTTAACTGCACAGCTCCACCATGGCCGTCTCCCGCAAGGACGCCATTCTGTCTCGCCGCTACATCGAGGGCCTCATTGCCGACGGGAAACATGTGTTCATCTTCGACGACCGTGTTCTCAAGGTCGATGCTTGGATTCCGTTTCACCCTGGAGGTGACAAGTCCATCAAGCACATGGTGGGACAGGATGCCACCGACGAGATCAATGCGTACGTCTCCAGCTGCCCTCCCATCCAAAGCACAGCTGCCTAACCGGTGTCCCGGAAAAGGTTACACTCCACAGAAGCTCGCCAGCGAATGTTAGCTTTCCAGATCGGTCGCATCCAGGGACCGTGGGTGAACTTTTTGCCTCCCATCCAGGGCGGGAAGTACCGTTCTTACGACCCAAAGGCCACTTACAGCGAGGACGACGATACCTCTGGCCAGTCTCAACCCCCGTCGCCCATCTTCGATGCCGTAGACGCTGCTCCGGGCGCTCGCCCACAGTCGCCATCTTCCGAGTCCTCCGTCTCGACTCCTGCCAGCGAAGAATCCGAGCCGAAGCCCTCTTTCCTCGACGCCCGGACTCGACAGGAAATCGTCTTCGACACCGCCAAGTATCCTTCGGTGGACACGAAAACGCAGGAGGACATCAAACAAAGATATCGCGAGCTGAATAAACGAATCCAAGCCGAGGGACTTTACGATTGCAACTACTTCTCCTACTTCATCGAAGCCTGTCGATATACTCTATTCGCTGGACTGTCTTACCTATTTCTACGCCTCGAATGGTACATGGTTTCGGCCTTCCTTCTCGGATGTTTCTGGCACCAACTGGTATTTACTGCCCACGATGCAGGTCACATCGGCATCACCCACCGTTACCATGTGGACAGTACAATCGGGATGCTGGTTGCCGATTACCTTGGGGGACTTAGTCTCGGTTGGTGGAAAAGGAGCCACAACGTTCACCACATCGTGACAAACGAACCAGAACACGATCCGGATATCGAGCATATGCCCTTCTTCGCTATTTCACACCGCTTCTTCACGAATCTGCGAAGCACATACTACGACCGCATCATGGATTTCGACGCCTTTTCCAACTTCATGCTTAAATACCAGCACTACCTTTACTACCCGATCCTCCTATTCGGTCGCTTCAATCTCTACCGATTGAGTTGGGAATACCTGATACTCGGCCAGGGACCGAGGAAGGGTCCCGCATGGTGGCACCGTTGGTTTGAAATTGCCGGTCAGATCTTCTTCTGGTACTGGTTTGGATATGGTGTCCTCTACAAATCTATCCCAACATGGGGCAGTCGTCTCTGTTTCCTTTTCATCTCCCACATGGTCACTGCGCCTGTCCACGTGCAGATTACCCTTTCCCACTTCGCCATGTCGACAGCAGATCTAGGTGTCCACGAATCGTTCCCTCAGAAGATGCTCCGCACGACTATGGATGTTGACTGCCCGACCTGGCTAGACTTTTTCCACGGTGGCCTTCAATTCCAAGCCATCCACCACCTCTACCCTCGTATCCCGCGACATAACCTGCGCCGTACTCAGAGACTTGTCCTTGAATTTTGTCGCGACACCGGGATTCCTTATGCGCTATTCACCTTCACCGACGGAAATAAGGAAGTTATTGGGAAACTCGGTGATGTTGCCAAGCAGGTTCGGATCTTGGAAGAGTGCAGGAAGTCATGCGCGGAACAGGGTGTTTTCTCCGATCACCATTAGACCCGTGTTATGATTTGTCCCTAGATGTATTGTGGTTTTCGTACATCTTGCCAGACGATCCGTGATCCACTCGCTTACTGTCGAGTTAGACCTACATAGACAGTATATAATTCCGCGGTTGTCTTTTCAGTTGCCCGATGATTTGGAGTCCATCCAGCTGATGTACATATGATGTCCTTATGATAATGCCCCTAATATAGCAGATTATATCCATATTAAATACGCACAACTAGTATGATGACCGTGTTCGTAATGTATGTCCATTCGTAGAAATCTATACCCATATTTACAGTGCTAGACGTACGAAACAAGGAAGGAAAAAGTAATCATAAAGTCTCGTTATATATAACCTGCCGAGTTTTTGGATTATCCAACCATCCCACCAGCTCTCGAAACCTTCTTAGCTCTCTGCTGTCGTCGATTATGGTTGGCCCGGCTCGCTTTATTCTCCTCCTTTCTCTGTCGTGAAGCAGCTGGGTTCTGTTCCCCAGAAGCACCTCCGCCTCCGCGACCACCACCTCTCCCACCACCTCGGCCCCTTCCACCCCGTCCACCACCACCAGCACCGCCGCCACGACCACGACCTCGAGAAGAGCCACCTCGCCCCTGAGACGCCGACTGCTCACCTTCGGTCCCACTCTCAGGTTCCTCATCCGCCTTTGGCCGACGATACGACGTCGACGGAATCTCAGGCTGAGACAGGCCAACTCCCGGCGTGAACCCACCACCCGCAGAAAGCGCAAGCTTACTTTCCAGCTTCGCGAGACGGTTCGGATTACGCATTATCATAACTGCCCACCCCTCCAGTGCTTCGTCGGTAAGTCCGGATTCGCGCTTGAGGGTGTCACGCGGCTGCGAGCGGCGCGTTGCCGAGTCTCGTGCGAATAGAGATGGCGTGGCCTTATAGGCACGTAGCAGGGTGAGATCTAGCTCGTCTGTGGTACCTGCGCCTTCGCCTGTGGCGTCGACTGTGCCGCCAACGTCGGCGACGTCGTAGGTGTCGTCGCGCTCGTCGTCGTCGGAGTCGAAGGTTGCTAGGGCGGAGAGGATGGCTGCTTTGCTGGCGGTGTGGTTGCTACGATCTGCGAGCATGTCGTCGGCTGTGAGGGAGGGGTTTGCGCGGCCGAAGCGTAGGGCGTTGTTCTTCTTGTTGTTGTTGGTAAGGTCGTTGGAGCGCGCAAGTTCGGCGAGGTCGACGTCTTTGTCGAAGATGTTTCTGCGTGGTTCTGGTATTGTTATTGAAGGAGATTGGGGTGGTGTTGACTTAGGAGGAAGCGGGTCATGGCGGGTTGCTGGTGTAGGAGGGAGTTGCTCCGATCTGTCTAGATCTTGGAGCTCTGGAGGGATAGAGGCGTCTAGGAGGTGTGCGATTATTGTTTCTGGATTGTCGCCGTAGAAGTCTAGAAGTCTCACGATGTAGCCCGATCCAAGGTCGGGGAAGAGGTCTTGGATCTGACTGATTAGAGACATCTTATGCGCGTGAACTTCTTCTGATGCCGGAAGATCTGACGCTCGACCTTTTCCTTTGTCGATTCGTTTCTTCGGCTTTTGATATCGGTGGTGAAAGGACTTCGACTCATATTGATATGTACGTAGACTTGAGACGAGATCTTGTCCGCGTTTCTGGGGCTGCACAGCCAGGTATCGTTCAACTCGAGTTAAGATGTCGGAGCTGCAGATGACGTCTGAGAGGAGCGTTGGCTCTTTCTTCATCCTCGGCGTGCCCATGCCGACGCCGGCTTTTAAGCCAAACAATTGGTCCAACAGAAGAGTAAGATTAGGCTTTGTGCCTTTCAATAGTGAGGTAAAACCAACGTATATATTGGCAACCAGGGACTTGCGGATATCCTCTAACTTTTGCGTTTGATATGCTTCTGCAACAGTATCCAGATAGTCAGACCCAGCCATGAGCACATGTCCACAGGCTGGGAGCGAGGATGCCAATATAGTCAACAGCCGGATATCCGAGACGGCTTTGAAGACGCTGCCGGAGTCAGACGCAGAGAGCTGTACAATAATACCCACTTTCCCTTTCTCTAAACTTGATGAGATTACATCCTCATGGTTACCCCACGCATCAGATAGGAGCTTCTTCAACGCTGAGCTGGAGGGATAACAACAGCTCATTTCGCTGAGATAAGTCCATCCTAAAAGCTCAGGTGGCGGTACCGCAACTTCTAGCACAAGCCTTCTCGTTAACAGAAAGCAGAGCTTCTTCAATGTTCTGGCTTTTGCTCCAGATTGGAAAGCATTCCCCCCAGATGTGGCGAGTTGATGGTAGAATGAAACCAAGAAAAGCACTGCGGATGCATCTTTTGGTACCAAATTCTTGAATGCAGATTCTGAAGTCTCCAATCGAGCCCCAAGAAGGAGTATACAGGCATCAAGATAAAGATCCCATTCTGTGGAGGGGATGGACCTCTGCACCTCTGGCGGAGGGAGTGGAGCTAAAGGCGGCAGCGTTGCCATGACTTGAACAGCAGTTCAAAGTGAAGAGTTGTGTATTTGTAAATCAGGGGCTGTAGAAATGTCGGATGAGGTCGTCACTTTCATATCGCTCTCCTTTCGCTCTCATAATGATTCATCCTCGTGTTGTATCAGACACTGTAAGGCCAGAGAGACAATCCAGTTCAAAGTCCGCCTTTCCGTATTCGGCCCACTGTGATGCCGCTTTAGCCCAGTGAGTCATCAACGGTACGCCTGAAGAGGACCCCGACAGTCTGATTAAAGGCTTTTAGTAGTCACACAATATATGAAGTGAATCCTTAGCACTATAGGGCTTCAGACTCCGCATATGTTTGGGCGGCTACCTCGAGTGAAGAGTATGGTGTAACATTCATCAAGGCGGCACTCATATTGATATTACCGTAATAATACAACTTGAATAAGCCCGACCGATCGGGTTAGCTCGCAGATAGGCGAGCGCCAAGACTTCAACCCGCACAAGAAATTGACCGAATGAGAAAAAGTCGCTTTTTGATCGCATCCACTCCACGACGACACCCTCAACTTATACGGCCATCATCACCTTACCGAGCCCCGAAGTTCAGGTCTTGATTGGCATACAGCCTCATCTGCAGTATGTCTTCCTCAATCACAGCTTCTCTCCACCGCAATCTAATTGATTAATAGCAAGTTCAATCCCGGTCAACATGTCTTACAAGCAAGAGAAGGAGTTCGGCGAGGGCCCTGTACGTTGCCTATATCCTCCCTTTCAGAAACATCTGCACCATACTGGGGGTTGCGATTCTGTCTACTGAGATTGAAGAGGCGATGGGCTAACAATTCACTCTTCCCGCTGTACAGAAGGTCCACAAGATCCGTATCACCCTCACCTCCCGCAAGGTCGCCTCCCTTGAGTCCGTCTGCGCTGCTCTGATCGAGCGTGCTCGCTCCAAGTCCCTCCAGGTCAAGGGTCCCGTCCGTCTTCCCACCAAGACTCTGCACATCTCCACCCGTAAGACCCCCAACGGTGAGGGTTCCAAGACCTGGGACAAGTACGAGATGCGCATCCACAAGCGTCTCATCGAGTATGTACCCCAATATCTACATTGCCCTGGGCAGCATGCCTTGGAGTGATTATTGAACAGAATGCTAATGGTTCTATAGCCTCCTCGCCCCCACCGAGACCGTTAAGCAGATCATCATCAACATCGAGGCTGGTGTTGAGGTTGAGGTTACCATTGCCGCTTAAATCAATTCCAGTTCTACTCTGGAATAAGGGAATTGAACTGGCACCCGCACTAATCCTTCGCTGGGTTGGTGTGGGAGCGGTTATCGATGGGCTTGCTGAAGACCTGATACGACCGAGTCGGCTTCGATACCCGTTAAAAATAGGCATAAAAATGGGAAATTTAGAAAACGTATATTCCGTTTGATGGAGTTGTTCTCGTACTGTAGATTGTGATATTGTAGGACAGGATGTAAAACAGTAACCAGTAGATTTACTCTAGAAAAACGCCTTTCATCCCAGTATATTGAAAGCCACCGCATCCTCGACCAATTAAGAAAGATAGAATAATAATGCCTGGCGTCCCAATGAAGATGTCCTAGTTTCCAATCCTAAAAGTCGAAGCTAACCCACTCTGTCTTTGGCGGCACACTGGGGATAAGCCCGTCCTTGAAACATCCATTCTTAACAAAGAATTCATACTGCTCCGTAACTTCTGGGGTATACTTGTCCGGCTCTGCATGTGCATCCCGTAGGCTAGCTTCGTCCGGTGGCCCGTCAGGAAAAAAGATCCTAACATACGTCTTTCGGTCCTGAGGATGTAAATAACAAGGTGCATTGTCGATGTATTGTACTGGTTGCCCCTTCCAACTTTGTAGTTTCTTCGACATGGGATTGTGGGTTGTTGCTCCATTTAGAGGCGGGATAGGAATTAGGTCATTGGTGTTGTCGGTTTTTAGTAATGGTGGCGGCCCAGCGCCTACCTGTCCGGATGATACTGATGCAGGTTGAGAGATCTGTGGCGCACCTCCAGCTGGTAGTCCGAAAGGTGCAGATGTTGGCTGCGGTGCTGCAGCCCCGAATGGAGTAGAAGTTGGCTGACTAGGTTGCCCTAGGGGAGCAGAGGGTTGGCCGAAAGGATTTCCCAATTGTGAAGGCGTGCCGAAGCCACTAGACGCTGGGGTAGCTGATGGCTGTCCGAATCCAGAGCCTGTCTGTGAGAATGGAGAGGCCGAGGCCTGGCCAAACCCGCTGGTAGGGCCTGAAATTTGGGAGAATGGTGATGAAGTGCCTGTAGCTTGGCCAAATGGTGAGGCTCCCATTGACGACGGCTGACCAAAACTGGATTGGCTTGGTTGGCTGGGCTGTCCAAAAGCCGGCTTACCAAAACCAGACGAGGCACCTAAAGCACTTGGTTGACCAAATCCCGAGGGCTGTCCTAAAGATGATTGACCGAAGCCAGACGGTTGTCCTAGGGATGATGGTTGGCCGAAACTAGACGGCTGCCCTAGAGACGGCTGGCCAAATGAAGGCTGACCAAAAGCTGGTGTACTGGACGCTGGTTGACTAAATCCTGGAGCTTGGAATGCTGGTGTTTGTTGGCCAAAAGCTGAGAGTTGGCTGGCCCCAGGTCCGGTGTCGCCTTTTGTAATATCGATTCTGTTCGGGTGCTCTTTGCCCCCATCAACAACGTATTTGACGGCCGCGCCGAGGTTTTTCAATATAACCTCCATTTGATTTACGGCTTCATTATACATACTTTCGGCCTCTTGGATCGCCGGGCCTGGGTTTCCGCTGGCAGCGGCTTCGTAGTGCCGTAGCCGGAGCTCTTCGAAACTCTGCTCTCGCTGTGGACCTCCAAACAATTGCTTGGGAGCATTTCGTCCAGGGCCATAACAAGAGAAGACCCAATCGGGCCTCCCTTTGCCAGCAACCAAGTCGGCTTTGATATCCTCCACAGTTACCCCATAGCTGTAACGGTATTAGCTGGCAATCTTGACGAATTTAAAACAGATAAGACATACTTGACCGGTTCCTGAGATTGCTTCGATTGCTGACCCGGCCCAGAAGAGGAGCGACCTTGACCAGTGTTAGCAAAGATGAACGGTCATGCTGTTTATCCCAAGCATATAATCATGTCCAGATAAAAGGTAAGAGGTAGAGGATAATGATCCTTGAAGTTTAGGACCGGCTCAACTCCATTCCACGAAAACAACGCAGAGTGCATAGAAAGCTCAAGACACTAGGTTCATAAAGAAGAGAGGACATACTGTTGAAGCCAGAGCTGCCTCCCGAGAGTGCGCCAAATCGGTTGCCGCCAGTGAATGTCTGTTGTTGGGCGCCAGGATGCTCATTTTTGCATTGGTCTAGAAAAAGTCAATTACACAATAATTTGACTGTTAATACTCGAGCTTTCTCACCTCCAAATCGGCATCGGCCTTGTTGGAAAAACCGACAAACGACCATATTGTCCTAAGCCGGAGTGCGCGCTATAATTGCTTTGCGCGAAATCCTTCCTTCAAAGGCACTTTGCGCCTATGGTGTTTCAAAGGCTTGATCCAGCCCGAACCAGGGGGTTCAAATAGGCCTCGACACTTAAATTTATATGAAAGATGTTTCGGATTTGCGAACACTCGTTGGAAGTTGGAACAATCGAGTTCTATCTCGGTTTGTCAAAGTCCTTTGATTCGAGACTCTTGGGTGTTACAATACCAGACGCCGGACGGGCGGTTATCGCGCCCGAAATGCTGGCGCTGTATGTACATTCTTGTTTTGGTAATTTACGCTTTTACTTCACTCAACCCATCACCAACTCGAAACTACTGCGAGAGGCCCAGGGATACTCAATAAGTGCTGCTCGTGGAATATACGGCGAAGCATCTTAGAAAGAAGAGCTGGTCCAAATTGCGAAGGAAGAAAAAAAGGTAAATAACGGTAACATTTCAAACCCAGCTTGCGCCTTCTACTACATGATCCATTGCTTGCAAGAGAATGCAATAATTCCAAGTAACGCCCGCTCCAAACCACAGGTATCTCATGACCATTCATTTTTTAACAGGTTGCACTTATTAGAGTTCTCATCTGCTGGTCGACGCTTGGGCGGGCTCTATACTTTGTTTGAGCAAGTCCCAATTCAACCCATCAATTTTCTTTCCACCCAAAGATTCCAGCTCCGTAGAAAGCCCCGCGGTCTTTCCAGTAGCAAGGCGGCGCATCATTACAGTGTCTTTGGCGCCGTGTAATGTCTTGGCATTCCCACGAAGCAGAGCATTCTCGAACCATTCCTCCTCTTGGTCATCGAAAGGGAGACCAATAAGCTCCATGGCTCGTGTGCTCCTTAGCTGCCCAGCGTCTGTTGTGTGAACGAATTCGATGAGCTGTGTAAGATACATTTGACGAAGGGCATCATGGTGCTTGCGAGTAAAGAAAAAGGCCTCCGTGATACTAGCCCGAGACAGAGTCTCCATAAAGGCTCGTTGGGCTTTTTCAGAAGTCAAAGGTGGGTTGACCGTGAGGTAATAGGCCATCACGAGATTGTCATCATGTCTCGGAAGATGCGAGAGGGTAAGCGCGTAGAGGATCTCATCGGGGAAAGTTGGGATAATGGAAGGTTCGGTGAGGTACTCGATCGCCCGCTACATAATCGTTAGCACCCGGGATACAACGCAAAGGCGGAAAAACGTACCTTGAACTCAAGTCGATCAAGGTGCCAAAGCCCCTCTATGAATAGCCTATATTTTTCGGGCAGATGGCATTTCCGCGCAAATTGTGCGGCTGCATCACTTGGAGCTCGACAGTCCTTCAAGATATAGTAGATCAAGCTTTGCTTTTGGTGGCTATCTAGCTCGGAAGAGACAATATGGCGAATCAGGGCCCGGAGATCCGAATTTGAGACAGGTGGATATATATTGGTTACTATAAAATTTGCATTATTAGTACGCCAAACAGGATAGCTGTTTGAAGAGGCGGAGAAATAAGTACCTGCTTGAACACCGAGTAGCTCTAACAGCCTGTCGGCGAAGAGCTGATTTTCTAGCGCACCACGATTTTTAATAATCTGAGCAATGACCTTGCCATCATATGTGAAATTTTTGTTGAAATGGAATATGACATCAAAGTCCTCCCAAGGAGCCATTGTGAGTAGATAAGTAGCTCAAAGCTCTATCGCTGTTGACCTCCAACCTCTGCGGCGATAAGTTTACTGTACGTATAGCTGATACGCGAAGGCGGTAGGTCACATGATCGATTCTCCCCTTTTGTTGTTGTGGCAGAAAACAACACCTTTCCTATTCGGGACGCTATGTAAACAACCCACTTTCCCAATCGCTTCCCTCACCTTTATCCAACATCACCGCATCGGCCTTCAACGCCTCCATCCGCCTTGATGCGACACCTTCTTTCAAACAATACCCCATCATTATAATGACGTCTATCGCAAGAGGCAGGCCGTCTCGGCGCTCCGCCTCGCGCAAGAGCTATGTGTTAGAAGAAACCTCCGAGTCCGAAGACCAAGGAAACGTTACCCCCACCCCATCCAACCCCGACGAAGACGATGAAGAGGAAGAAGAATTCACGCCGGTACCCCAGAAAAGAGCGCCTGCAAGGGCGTCACGCCGACGAGTAACATCTGAGACGCCGACTGCACAGGTCCCCCGGAGACCCCGAAGGTCGAAGACGGGAGAACCGCCGGAGTCAGAGACATCTTCGCCTGCTGATCCGAGCGAAGAAGGCGAGTCGGTTGCGAGCGCGCAAGACGAGAATGAGTCACCGAACACGGCGATCAAGCGAAAGAGCAGGGAGCCTGAAGAGCCGGAATCTCCTTCACGTACCGCGGCAATGAAAAGAAAAAGTATGGCCCGCAAGAGTCGTGTCTCCTCTACACCCAACCCGGAAAAGTCCTCACTCCCAACTCCAGAGCCCTCGCTTTCGCCGCAACCTCAACCGCATTCCCAGCGAGATAGCGTACCTCCGCTCGCCGATATCACAGAATCCGCGGTGAACCAGACGCCCGCGAAGCCCGCCGAGGAGCCAAAGTCGCAAGTTTCTATCATCAACCCGAACACGACCGTCCTCGAAAAACCCATGGACATCATGTTAAAATCGCGGACCCTCGGTCCTTCAGTCCCTGAGGAGCCACAAGGTCCCAAGAGCCGTCTCATGATGACTACATTAGTTTTGAATAACTTCAAGAGTTACGCAGGAAAACAGATAGTAGGGCCGTTCCACGCATCGTTCTCCTCCGTCGTCGGTCCCAACGGATCCGGAAAATCGAACGTAATTGACGCCTTGTTATTTGTATTCGGATTTCGAGCCAGCAAAATGCGGCAAGGCAAGATCTCTGCTTTGATCCACAACTCCGCTAGCCACCCAAATTTGCCGTACTGTGAGGTCGAAGTTTCTTTCCAAGAAGTTACTGATCTGCCCGGTGGCGAACATGAAGTAGTACCAGATTCCCAACTGATTATCTCACGCAAGGCGTTTAAAAATAACTCCAGCAAATACTATATGGATGGAAAGGAGACGAATTTTACGGCCGTTACGACTCTCCTTCGCGAGCGTGGAATTGACCTGGACCACAAGCGTTTCTTGATCCTTCAAGGTGAAGTTGAGTCAATTGCTCAGATGAAGGCCAAGGCTGCAAACGAGCATGAGGACGGACTTCTGGAATATCTCGAAGATATCATTGGCACGTCGAAATACAAGCAACCTATTGAGGAAGCTGCGGCTGAGCTCGAAACGCTTAACGATGTATGTGTCGAAAAGAACAACCGTGTTCAGCATGTCGAAAAGGAGAAGACCTCCCTTGTGGACAAGAAGGACCAAGCACTTGCTTACATTTGTGATGAAAATGAGTTGGCCCAGAAACAATCAGCGCTATATCAGATCTATATCGATGAGTGTGCGGACAACCTCCGTGTCACGGAAGAGGCCATACTCCAGATGCAAGAGCTCCTAAACCTTGAACTTGAAAAGCACGAAGGCAACGAGTCTGGAATCAAAGAGCTGGAAAAGGTCTACAAACGTGCTACAAAGGAGTACGAACGCATGGAGAAAGAGACACAGGAATTAGCAAAGGGAATGGCCAAGTATGACAAGGAATCCGTGAAGTTTGAAGAGAAGAAGAAGTTCTTGGTTGGGAAACAGAAGAAGTTGGAAAAGGCCATGACCACCGCCCGCCATGCCGCATCAGAATGCCAGAGCTTGGTACAAAAACACAGCGATGATATCGAGAAGAAGAGCAAGGAGGTTGCGGGTTTCGAAAAAGAGGTCGAAGTGGAGGAGCAGGAACTTTCGACAATCCGCGACGGCCTCAAAGGCAAAACTCAAGGCCTCTCGGACCAGATTGCCGTAAAGCAGAAATCCCTGGAGCCATGGGACGAGAAAATAAACAAAAAACAGTCCTCTCTTGCTGTGGCACAAAGTGAACTTGATATCCTACGGGAAAAGAGCAATGCAGGGGCTGTTCTGCTCGAGGAGGCGCAATCAAAGATTTCGTCAATCGAAGAGTCCATTTCTCGGAAGGAGGAGGACCTTGAGGAATCCAAGGCCCAAAGATCAGGCCTTGACGACGAGGTCGCACAGCTGAAAAACGACCTCAAGAAGTATAGCGTTAAGGAGCCAGATGTTCGTGCCCATGTCTCTAGCGCCCGCCAAAAGGCTGAGGAGGCCAGAGCCACTGTTGCGAGTACACAAAATCGTGGAAGTGTCTTGACCGGTCTTATGCGCCTTAAGGAATCTGGCCGTATTGAAGGGTTTCACGGTCGACTTGGGAATCTCGGCACAATCGATGAGAAATACGACGTTGCGATTTCTACAGCCTGCCCAGCGCTCGAGAACATGGTTGTCGAGACAGTCGAGGTCGGACAACAATGCATCGATTATTTGCGAAAGAACAATCTTGGTCGTGCCAACTTTATCCTCCTGGACCGTCTCCCCAAGCGCGACCTGAATATGATCCTTACTCCCGACAATGTCCCCCGTCTCTTTGACCTGGTGAAGCCAAAGGACCCGAAATTTGCTCCGGCATTTTACAGTGTGATGCAAAACACTCTAGTCGCAAAGGACCTCGAGCAGGCCAACCGAATCGCCTACGGCGCGAGGCGTTGGAGAGTCGTCACACTTGACGGTCAGCTCATCGATACTTCCGGTACAATGAGTGGTGGTGGTACTCGTGTTGCTCGCGGTGCCATGTCATCTAAACAGGTCGGCGACATTAGCAAGGAGCAACTTGTCCAGATGGAGAGTGACCTCGAGGAGATGGAGAAGAAGTTCCAGCATTTCCAGGAGAAGCAAAGGCGAGTAGAGGCAGCTCTGCGGGAGAAGACCGAAGAAATTCCCCGGGCAGAAACGAAGATCCAAAAGATTATGATCGAAATCGACAGTGCGAAGCGCAGCCTTACTGATGCCGAACGGCGTGTTCAGGAATTAAGTGCAGCTCACGTGCCGTCGAAGACTGATGCAGGCCGCGTCAAGGCTCTTGAGGAGCAAATCTCAGGTATCGAAGAGCAGATCGAGGATCTCCGCTCGCAAAAGGGTGGAATTGAAGAAGAGATCCAGGAACTCCAAAACAAAATCATGGAGGTTGGTGGTGTCAGACTACGCAGTCAGAAAGCCAAGGTCGACGGGCTTAAGGAGCAGATCAGCCTCTTGTCTGATGAGATATCTAACGCAGAGGTCGCTAAGTCCAAGAACGAGAAACTCATAAAGAAGCATGAGAACTCTCGGGTAGACGCTGAGAAGGAACTTGCACACATGGCTGAAGAACTCGAGAAGCTGAACGAGGATGTGGCCAACCAAGCTAGCGACGCGTCTGGGTGGAAGCAGAAGGTGGATGAAGCACAAGATGTGAGTCAACTCAATAGTCGTTGTTAATATAGAAACTGACAGCTGTTAGGCCCTGGATGTCAAAAAGTCCGAGCTTAAAACTATGAAGGGCGAGTTGGATGAGAAGGTAACAGAGCTGAACGAAACTCGAGCAACAGAGATTGAGATGCGCAACAAGCTCGAGGAGAACCAGAAAGCTCTGTCGGAGAATGAAAAGCGTAGTCGCTACTGGCAAGACAAACTATCCAAGCTGACTATACAAAACGTCAGCGATTTGGGCGAGGAACAACAGCCTACTGAATTGCAGACGTTTAGCAAGGACGAGTTATCTGAGATGAACAAGGACTCCTTGAAGGCAGTTATCGCAGCCCTGGAAGAGAAGACGCAGAACTCATCAATCGACCTTTCGGTAATTGAGGAATATCGCCGCAGAGCCGCGGAGCACGAGTCACGTTCGGCTGACCTTGCAACCGCTCTCAGCAGTCGGGATAGCGCTAAATCTCGCCTGGATGGGCTGCGGTCTTCTCGTCTGAACGGCTTCATGGAGGGCTTTGGTATCATCTCCCTTCGCCTGAAGGAGATGTACCAAATGATCACCATGGGCGGTAATGCCGAACTAGAGTTGGTGGATTCTCTTGATCCGTTCTCCGAGGGCATTCTCTTCTCAGTCATGCCGCCCAAGAAGAGTTGGAAGAATATCGGTAACTTGTCAGGTGGTGAGAAGACACTCTCTAGTCTGGCATTGGTCTTTGCTCTGCACCACTATAAGCCTACCCCGCTTTATGTTATGGACGAGATTGATGCCGCCCTGGATTTCCGAAACGTGAGTCAATCCTTTACTATGTCTACGATCTTACTCATAGACTTTTAGGTTTCTATTGTGGCATCTTACATCAAAGAGCGAACCAAGAACGCGCAGTTTGTGGTCATTTCCCTAAGAAACAACATGGTAAGTTCCAACCTAGACCTGGAGCTCATGATTTTACTAATTCCACTACAGTTCGAACTCGCATCCCGACTTGTTGGTGTGTACAAGGTCAGCCACATGACTAAGAGTGTGACGATCGAGAACAGAGACTACATAACAGGTCGCTGATTCTTGGATTTGCATATATAAATGTCACGCTTTTGCTTTATTCAATCATGACGGTGTATGGGTTGTGCTTCTTCGGTTAGGTCATAATCATTCTATGCGCTCTATGTATGTACTTTGTCGATTTCGTAGCAGATATTGGGCAGTCACGCCGCAATGATGACTTTCTCGCATTTCATCTAATTTATGTCTCCCTCTTTCCCGTCTCTATATACTTGAAACTCCACAATAAATGATAAATTATATTACTATA